AAAAGTGCAAAATGCCCCTCGTCGCCGGAATACGCTCGAGATTAGTTCGGACATAAGAACACTAGCTTGTCGCCGGATCGCTTTTGAGTCTCTGTGTAGGCCACATCTCATTTAGTTACGGGGATTCCAATTAAAAAGTGGATTGCGGGCCGCATCCCAGAGAACCACCACCTTTGACTTCAGTTTACTTTCTGTTTCTTACTAACTGACCTCTTTTCAGCTTCTCTATAGTTATTGCGAAAAACTTATTGATGGTGGAGTTAGTGACTTTGCATGGAAAACGTTGAGCAATCTCAAGTTAAAGGATGAGGTGCTTTTTTCAGTACGATTTATACTAACTTCAGCCTCTTTCTTCTGCTTCCACCTGGATTTCTTCTATCTCTTATTGAACAGTTTTCATTTCAGCGACTTTTGGCGCTTCGCCATGACCTCTTCCAGATATGTGGTGGAGAAGAGCGCACGATGGCTAAGGAACCGGAAAAACCTCATCGCGATCACATCCAGGCTATCAACAATGCTCTTTATCCGTCGGTATGGTTCAAGTAGTTCGCTACTTTCGAAGTATTGATTTTGAGAATGATATCCATTGATTTTTCTGTAAGCACGTGCTAATGAGATGGCCGAAGTGCAAAAATAACTTTTCTATATCGATAATTTTCAGCGTTCTCAACAACGGAATCCTGTGTTCTCCCCCGCCTCGACTGCTTCAGTATCATCACCATCGGCATTCTCGCTCATAGGCCAGCATCGTCAACCATACAATGCCATGCAGAGCATGCAGCCAAGACCTGCGTTCCCGAGCCAGACCTACTCCAGTTACGCCCCGACCCCACCGCTGCCCCCACCCATTCCCGGTTACCAGCAGTCTCCTGCAGTTGGTTATGTCCCCACCCCACCGCCACCCATACCTGGACCACCACCTGTCCCTAGTTTCCAGCCGTTCACCCCTGCTTCGATGTATAACAGTCAACCACCTGCAGTGCCTGGTTTTAATCCAATTCAAGCTCCTATACCACCGCCACCAGTAGTCCCTGCTTCGTTTTCTAATGTGCCTAACGCTAACTATAACTATGCAAGCAACATTCCACAAGCAGGTTATGCTCCTTCGCCTTCGACCGTGCCAGCACAGGAGTTTTCCTCGGTGAGCGGTTGAGATCAACTTCACAGTAATTGAACTTGTAATGTAAACAGATGACTTCCAGAAGAGCTCGACCGTTTCGCCAACTGGAGGCAGTGGTGGCGATAACGTAAGATATCCCTTATTTTGCTGTTTCTTTTAAATGAATTTATATACTCCTTAGGATTCCTTGTCCGTTTACTAGCTCATGGGTATATGATAAAACTGCGGCGCAGTACGGCTTGGTGGGAGCAGCGGATGCTTGTGTGATAGCTAATTCAGGTCACCGCTGTGAAGACTGTGAATTTCTGTAACCACATTGACTCGCTTATACCATTTCGCAGCATCACAGGAGCTTACAGGCCTCGCGAAAGTCTAAGTTGTTAATTGGCATGTACTAGCAAAGGGAACTAAACGCAAGTATGGAAATGGCGCCTATCATAAGCCTAAAACATCGCCTAAATTGCAAAAATCCTCGTTTCTTTCTGACTTGTTTCATTTCAGGAATCTTCCACTCATGGATGGAACGATCCACCACCGCTTACTGCGCGTACAACTCCGGCAGCAGCTCCTATATTTGAGGTACGTTGTGTGGGGAGCAGAAGAGGAAGTTGGCAACATTCCGAAGTTAGTCTATCGCATGAAAATCATGCAATGCTTTTTAGTCGGGGGATCAAATGATGACCTCGGGCCGCGTTTATACTTCGCAGTCTCAGCGGACTATGAACGCGCTATCACTTGCGCGCGGTTACGTGACATCTTGAACTTTTGTGCATGGTCCTGTTACGAAACCCTGTGACGCAGACGGATAGAGGGCAGGGGGATTCCAGGGTGGGTGAGCTACTTACAGTCGGTGAAAAGCTGGAGTGAGCGAAGTCACAACGGCCATAGAGTGCCAATGTGGAGGAGTGAGTGCAGAAGAAGATCGACACGTTCAAAGGGATCGAGTTCAAGTTGTCCGTAGACAACCAGGGCTCATCATATCGATGAGAAAGATTCCGTAACAGAATTTCCAACCAAAATTCGTGTAACCAGGTCAGGGGACATCGTACATTGGGAAACCCCAGCGGTGCTCGTATTTGGCCGGTGAAGAGATAGGTGATCGTAATGGCCTGCGACAATTCTTTGGTCGATTTTTCCTATTTCACGCGCACTATCCACATCGTTTAGAGACTCTCGTTGCGGAGGGGTCGCTTTTGCTCGTCGTTGTGAGAGGAGCTCGTGCCCTGCAGGTGAGTGCTGGACAGATCTCCGTTCGACCACTAGATTCAGTTGGATTTGTGCCGGTAGGAGAGTTGATGGGGTAAACCCCTCCTCAAGCAGAGTGTTGAAAAATCAACGAAGAAAAGTTTTGGTGGCACAAGTACGTCCTATTCCTCTGTCGTCGAGGTATTCTAACGATGTTGTGCACTCCGCCGCGCTTCATGGGGTAGAGAAGGGGTGGAGTAAACGCGTTCCCTAATTCTAATTACATACCGAAGTAACATACCCCTTCTGGGCCGTACTATAAGCGAAACATGCAAATTCCTAGGGAGTTTATCAAGTTTGGCCCAAGTCTGCAATAGGTACTGTTGGACATTCCTGTAGAAGAGGCGTGTGAGGAAGGGCGGGGGGCTGGCTTGAA